TGCTATGCATGCATTGTTTGACAAGATCTGGGTCATTCACTAAATAACCAACACATTCTAATGTCGGTTTACCCATATGGCTTCATCTAATTGGTTCTTCGAGACACTTCCGCAGCTGAGGATTAAGAACTTTTCGATTTTATACTTTCACCCCAATTATGATAAAGCTTTTTCATTTTAAACCCTTTTTTTTCATATTTACCTAATGTTCCAAATTATTTTCAATTTGACCCCTATAAATATTTTTTTCATTTGAATTTTCACACCTATTTAATAAACACCTATTTCTAAAAAACTATGTTATCTACTTTTTTGTTCAAATCAATATTTGTGTACTCATTTTATTTATTCGCATCATCAAAAATTTACATTGGAGCTTATGTAACAATCATGTTTTTCACAAGCAATCATGGTTGCTTTTCATTTAGTCACCATAATAAGTATTAACAGTCATGTACTTATACCATAATTGTCATACTATATACCAATATAATATAACTTTACTATAATAAACTGTAAAGTATTCAACAATTCCAAAACACTTTGAATCATAAAAGTTTAAGTAACGCTTTGAAGTCTGAAAAATCATATTTATATAAACAAGTGTTTTCCATTTTTCATTCATTTTTCATAAGTTTTCACAATCCCAATGGTCCTTTGGCTTAGTCTTGCATCCCTTGTTATGAAATTAATAAAAATAAGTGAGTCACACATGCTCATTAAGAATAATTTAGAACTCCAATCCAAATATGAGAGATAATATACTGATTCAACTCTTTTACCCTCATATATTTCAATTCAGTCACAATTGAACAACTTAATTTCTCGTTTTGATTCATTCTCAATTTCATTAACACAAAGGTATGATCACATTAATTATATACATTCACACACATAATACCTTTCCTCATATATATATTTAGATTATAGTATTCCCATCATTCACAAAATACAACCAACACACATGTATATGTACCACTATTGTCTCATCTAATATTACTCAGATCCAATCACGAAGAGAAATGATCATTTCCACTATTAATATGGACCTAGTCATAGTTACACTTCCATAAGTCATAGTTATTATCATAACCATAGCCATAGTTACAGTCATAGTTACGAAGTAATAAATAGTTTATGAGATAGAGTTCATAATCATTCCTTACCGATCATGAACTGTACATTTAGTCATATCTCCATGATGAGAAATTTTTTACTGTCGAACATATGTATTCCCTAATAAGCTTTATTTTAGATTATATTTTATCTTCCTACTTAATTATCTTCATTTAAGTTTCATTATGTTCTATCTCTTTATTTCAAAAAACCTAATTTATTTATTCACAATTCATCAAACTCTTTAACTCCCAATTTATTTTAATTTCAAAGATCACAAAAAGATTTTGATTCTCACATTTAATCTCCCAAAATCTTCAGTTCAAGAAATATTTTAATCATCTCCCTAACTCATATCCATCAAACAATTTCAATATATAATAAGATTTTCTGCTAATCTCAATTAGTCGTACTCATTCCACTACTAGCTTCTTAATCTCTATTATTTAATGCATTTCCATTACTTTTATTTTTGAAGTATAAAACTTATCAATAATCGCTAATATTAATATAGTGAATATATTTACCCATTATGTGGTCTAACAAAATCTTTCTTTAATTGACTAATCTTCTGGGCTATCAGTCCATTATCCTAACCTTTATTCCCTCATCCCATTAATTATTCATCTCCCACGTGAGTAGACATTCTATTTTCTTAGATCTTGGGCCAGAAGCCCAATAGATTTGCCCTTACTTGGCCTAATTTAATCTTCACTAGTATTTTATTCACATGGACATGAAGCCCAAAAAGGCTTGGCCCATATAAATTAAAATTTCCACTCCTTATATATATTTTTATTTCCTTTGTTTTATCTATCACTGTTCTTTGTTTTTATTTTCTTTTCTTACTTTAAACTGGCCCACCTATTCTTTTTTAGCCTATTTTAGATGGCTCG